AAAAATAAATCAAGTTTAAAAAATAATGAAGAAACAAAATTGTAAGCTGAGGTTACTAAAAACCTGCAGCACAATAAGATATTTTGAGAGAGAGAATTCCCATCATTTTTATTATATTTTTCATATATTGTTATATTTTGTTAGTTACTGTTACTTTCTTATTTAGGTATTTATAAGAAAAAGCTCATAGTATATATAGTGGTTGCTCTCATCTGTGATTTCAGGAATACATGGAGGTCTTGGGACATAGCCCTCATACATAAGAGGTGACTAGTGAATCCTATTGTCATTATAACACTTAAATTAGTATCACTTTTTTCAAGATTTTATTTATTTATTTGAGAGACAGAGTTGCAGAAAGAGAGAAGGAGAGAGAGAGAGAGAAAGCCTCCCATCTGCTGGTTTGCTCGCCAAATGGTCACAGCGTCTGGAGCTGCGCCTATCCAAGGCCAGGAGCCAGGAGCTTTTTCCGGGTTCCCCTTGTGGCTGCAGGGGCCCAAGGACTTGGGCCATCTTCCACTGCCTTCCCAGGCCATAGCAGAGAGCTGGATCAGAAGAGGAGCAGCCAGGACATGAACCAGCACCCATATGGGACACTGGCACTGCAGGCAGAAGGTTAGCCTACTACACCACAGTGCCGGCCCCTTATATCACATTATTAAGATTCTAACAATTCTTTTCCTCATAGAAAGATATGTTCAAAGATAAAACTGGGTTTCAGGTGCCAGCATTGTAACTACCTACAAGGCCAGCATCCCATACAGGTGCCAGTTTGAGTCCTTGCTGATCTACTTCTGATCCAGCTCTCTGCTATTGGCCTGGGGAAGCAGCGGAAAATGGCCCTAGTCCTTGGGCCCCTGCTACCAACATGGGAGACCTGGAAGAAGCTCCTGGCTCCTGCCTTCAGCCTGGCTCAGTTCTGGCCATTGTAGCCATATAGGGAGTGAACCAGCAGATGGAAGATCTTTCTAACTCTGACTTTCAAACAAATAAATAAATCTTTAAACAACAACAACAATTTGGTTGTTATAGTATGTACTGAGTCTCCTAGCATTAGTGGCATCTGATTTTGGAAATATGTGCAGTCTGAGTAGGCCTAAGAAATAGGGTATGCAGCAAGGCAGGGGAGGACTGCACTGAATGGGATTTTGAAAGATGAGCTTCCAGATCCCTTCTACTCAAGAGTTTTTATGAAAACTTAATCCTACTGCAAAAAGGTTACAATATGACAGAAGAAAGAATTCACAACTACCTTACACAGACCCCTCTCTCTTCTATCCAAAATCGAGTGTGGCCTTTGTAATGCTGCTGAGATTAAAGATGGTGAAGATTTGAGCTTCAACATGATCTTAGCAATCTTGGATTAAAAATTGGACAGCCCAGGTGAAGGGTAGGCAGGGACTGAGGGGTTATCAAGGCCAGACGAGCTAACATGAGCTTTTGCTTGGATTATCTGCTTTAGAAGTTTCTGGAGATCTAATCTCACAGTAAGCTGGGAGGATTCTTCACGGGGACAAAGTAACTCTCACCCAGGAGATGTGAAGGAGGGAAGAGCTGCCGCTTTAGGCAGGTTGCTCCTACTGAAAGGCTTACACAACCTGGGGAAGTACAAAGAATTCTGGTTTTCGAATTTCTTGCTTTCGCCCACTTATGCTTCCCCAGACTGAACTCACAGTGCAGATAGCAAGAAATACCAACCTCAAATTTGGAATCTGAACCTGGAGGCTCTGGAAAGAGTCATTCAAGGATAGAGAAGACTGGCTGGCTGCCTGAAAGTACCACACAGGCAACACCGCGCAGTGGAATAAGACACTCAATATTACCTTGAAAAGACTATCATACAGAAAACGACAATTAGCAGTTTGATTCACCCACTTGTGTCACTGGGAGCAAATGTGTTAAAGAGGTTGAGCTTCCGTTTCTTCCCCAGTGAAGTCAGAATAGTAATCCCAGCTGCCTCTGTCCCAGGCCCGCAATGCCGAGTGTTGGGCTCTGTAAGGAAGTGCTTTACAGTCCTGTGGGCTATTCCCAGGGTTGCAGCCCTGATTCCTCCCAGACACTGCGACCTAGGCGTGCTGCTCTGATGCCTCGAAATCCTGTTCTCAGCTCCTGTCCTTTCACCCCCTCTGTCACTGTGTCCTTACTATGCGTTGTAACTGTGACCTATCTCCGGGGAATCCAGTGGGACGATTTCTCACCCCACAGAGGTCGCTGGTGTGTTCACAAAAGAGTCCACAAAAGAGACAGACAGAGGACAATATTGGTTTGATAGTTCAGGGTGCTGATCCAAGACAAAGCGACTGTGCGTAGAAATCTTTTCTCCACCCAAGCCTGACATCTCCTACCTCAGTAAGTGGCTGCAACAGTATTTATGCTACAGAGATGATAGGAAAATTTTAAAAGGGGGTCAGGTAAGCTTATTCAGCTCATACACTTGCTCAGGACCACTCGTGCTAAAGGAAAGAGCTGAGACTGTGGCAGGATGAAGTGACCTCAACACAGTGTGTGACTGACAGCCAACATCCAGTAAGCTGCAGCTGTTTATATGACCAACCCAAAGCACTCATGGCTCTGCCCTACACACACTGGATGTTCTGTAAACGCCAACAGGATTATTTATCCTGCTGGAAAACTGAGTGATGCCTCATTGCCCCAAAGGTTTCCAGTCTTTGAGCAGCCCACTCCCCAATAGCTAAACTGTCATTTTTATCATCAGAGCCTCGGAGGCACACCAAGAGTGTAAAATCACATCTTGGTGTGGTTCACACACTCTCTCTAAAACCTGGCCCTTGGAAAGCACACTCATATTTATTCATAATAAAACTGCTTTATGGCTTGTTTGCCTTTGCTCTTTGGGGAAGACAACTGACAGGTGGTGAGGCTTTGCTTTAGCTCAGAGGCTGGGATTGCAATGACTGTCAAAAAGAGGGAGGCAGCTAGGGGCAGTGGCAGAGGGTGGACAAGGCTGTGCTCATCTTCAAGATGTAGGCTGCCACTCTCTTGTCCGGGGAGGGGGCAATTATACTTGACTGGCCTGCTGAGGCCCTGGATTGACAGGAAGCCTTGTTGAAGATTGAGAGTTTCCCATTTAAAAAGGCTCGACTGTATGGAAAATTGGCAGTGGTGGGATCCTTGGGGACCTCTGCTTCTTTGCTATCTCATGAATTTGTTTTCTGCAAAGCAGCAGCTGCTTATGGTTACCAGCTTCTGGACTGATAAGCTTTGTCCTTTGAATGCAGTTTGTCAACCTGTCCTTGCTGCAATTAAGGGAGTCTGCCCCTCCTAGAAATATTACATTGCCCCAGGGAAAGGGAGAACCAACGCAGTGTTCATTCCTCGATTGTCAGACCTGGAAGGAATCATACAACAGGGCATCTGTCAACAGAAAGGCAGAGATGCCTGGACTGCTTGCTGCAAATATGAGTCTTGGTCCCCACCCCACCTTCTTTATCTGAAGCTAGATTTTTAATAAATTCCTCCAGGTTATTCTATTGCCCCTGTGATGCTTGAGAGACACTTAAATGGAAAAACAGACTCATTCATCTGAATTACACATAGAGACATTGAGGCATTTAAATTTCATCCCCAAGGACAGATGACAGCAAATAACTCCCAGGTCTTCTGACTCTCAATCAAATGCTTTCTTGATCATCATGTTACCTTTGGCTTTCTAGAAACAAAAGTGTGTCCTCCATATACTTTATTTACACTGGGTCTGTTTATCCAACATTAAGGTTTAGCTGAGACAGGAGACAGTGAGCTTTGGCAAATCCAAAGTCTATTTATTATTATTTTTGAAAATGGGGAAAAACAGATTTTGGAAGAAATAACATATTGAAATTTAATAGTGATGTCAAAGAAAGAGGGGTAGATAAAATAGAATAAGGGTAATTGTTGGTTTGTGACCAATTGCTCATTGATCAAGAATGTTTTCTTCCTACACAAAGAATTGTCTGAATAAGGCAACTTTATGTTGGTACAATTGTTCCAGTTTGCAGAGAGCAAAAATGTCTTTTGTGTGTTGGATATTTCAAAAAATGTTTTCCTGGCCATGATATTATTTGGTATTCACAGTGCCCTAATGAGATATGTGCTAATGTATCCACCTAAGCAATGAGATTGAGACACAAAGAAACTTTTCTACAACTAGTTAGAAACTAGCTCCAGTCCAGATACAATCAGAACACTAATAAGCTTTAGAGAGTTTCCTATATGCCAACCAGCACTTTGAGCACTTGACAAATATGTCCTTATTTAACTCTTATCAGTACTACACATATTTGTCTAATTTATACCTTATCTCAACCCTATAAAATAGTGGTAGTATTTTTTAATGAAGAAACTCAGAGATAAGGACTAAATCACCTTTCATTCACTCCTCTACTTCTTCAAAAATATTTGTTGAATTCAAGAAGTTTTGGAGATTACTTAGGCTCTAGAGATATTAAGTAAGCTAAGTGCCTGTTTTCATAATGATTACACTTGAATGGGGAAAAGATCGGCACAAAACAAGCGAGTAAATCAATGTATAAACTGCTAAAAGTGACCGAGAGAAGGAGTGAGCACAGAGGTATCTGCAGGGAAGAGCTGGAGGTAACACTGTGATGTGGTGTCAGGAAACGCCTTTGACTCTGAAAGACAGGAAACCACTGAGGGTGTGGAGCAGCAGAGTGACAGGACTTGACGTGCTTTGGAAGTTTCTCGGAATTGTGTAAGCGGAATAACCTATGGAGGGCGAGGCTGGAACTTCCCAAGGTTATACAATTAAGTGTTGGGAGGTAATGGGTGTGGGTGTCGTTGTAACCACTTTAATACCTGACCTCCTAAACCAACTTTCTGAGAAGGGACAGGTCCACCTGGTGAGTAAGTTACTCTCTCTGTAGCACATGTTTGGCTCCCTCTTGCGACACACAGAAGCATCTCCATGTGTACCAAGGTTGTTGCCCTCTCTGACAACTGGCAGGAGTCCATTGCCACAGCCTCAGGTGGCCCTCACTCACCTTGGACTTCTCTTGGTGCAGCTCTATCTGAATGTCTGTGAGCTTGGTCCTGAGGTCTTCGTTGGCAGCTTGAAGGGCGACAATGAGTGCCTCGGGCTTCTCGCCCTTATTTCGCCCTTTCTTAGACATTGTTCCTTTCGAAATGGAGTCTGTTGGTGTCTAATTCCTTTCAAACAGGTGCTGCCATGGTACTGATTCTTATCCTGGGGTATGATGTTTCAGCATCTATTGCAGGGTGCTCCTTGGTAAGGTTTTCTCAACCATTGCCCTGGAAGCCCTGAGAAGAAATAAAGATAACAGTTAACAGTTCTGCAAAGACAGGCAGTTAGACTGAGCTAAGTGCCAGTCAGTCCACTGTCAGCCTGAGTTGCTGTAGGAACCTCCTTCAGAGGTTCTCCTGTCTGCAGGCTCTCCTCCTGTCTGCTCTGCACATAAATCTAGAGTGATTTTCCAGAAGGCTAAGCTGCTCATGTCAATGTCCTTCATCTACAAGCATATGTCTTTCACAGTGTGGACTGCTCTTTCTGCCTCAGCCTCCCACACTGTTGTCCTATCTTCTCCACAGCGTTCACTGACTCTCTGCCCACAGACGGCAGAGTTCTCAAGGAAGTCACCTGTTTGTTGACCTCAGAGTGCAGAGAGCCTCAATTTTATCAAAACCCAACATATGAAGACAGATGATTATACAATGGCTAAACTTGGGGGAGGAGGGAATTACTGGAATGAATTATTGCAATAAGTGAGTCACTCACATGTTCATTCATTTAGTTGATATTACTAGAGTTCCTTCCATATGATGTGTAGGTACAGTAAGCTGAAAGTAAAAACAAAAAAGGACTTCAAAGGCAAAAAAAAATATAATCTGTTGTCTACCATCACCTTCAGCTATTTGATAAGTGTTTTAAAAGATCAGGTCAGTGCTGTGTCTCTCTTTCTCTCTCTCTGTCTTTGTCCCTCCCTCTCTCCCTCCTTCCCTCTCTCTCTCTCCATCACTCCGTCTCTCTATCTCTGCCTTTCAAATAAATAAGGAAACATTTTTTTTCATAAAAAAGAAGCACACACTAATGATTTCTGAAAAAAGGACACCTTTCTGCCTGGCTGAATAAGGAAGACCCCTTGACAAGGGGCTAGTGCCCTGGTACTTGAGGAGTAGGTGGGGTATTATAGAGAGAGAAACAGGAGAAGTGTCCTGGGCTAAGGAAATTGCTAGTGCTGACACAGAGAGGAATCAGTGACTGTTTTAAGGTGGGGGGCAGGGTGGGGCCTGATTAATCACATCCCAGAAATGCTGATGGGCATCACTGCTAGAAGAATTTCATGGAAATTATAGATGGTGGGAGATAGAGAATTCCAAGCTTAGAAGTCTGGAATCTTTGCAGTAAGCAAAGGGGAGGATGTTGACGTTTTGGAAGGTGTGAGTCCTGGCCATCACAGAATAATGGGGTGGTATGATTATTGTGGTGGTAGACTGGGAAGAGAACAGAGGCAGACAGGAGACAGGAGACTCCTGATTCTGCCCAGGTGAAGGGTGATGAAGACGTAATCAGAACCACGGCAACAGCAAAGAGAAAGGGGGGTAAACATGTGTCTGAACTTACAAACCTAAGAACAAGAGGGGGAAAGAGTCATTGGAAAAATCATGATGACATGACAAGACTCTACAGCAGTGCTTATGCAACTTGTCAGAAAACTGGCTGTCATGTCCATTGAAGTATTTCAGAACAAAACTAAGGAGAACTCCCGCTAGTCACCCATGTGGTCCAGCACCTGCTACTCCCCTAAGACCATGGCAGTTGTCTTTGAGGACCAATGCTGGGATCCTGGGCTTCATGCCATCCCCTCATGAGTTGTGGCTGTGCCTTTTTGTGTGAGTCTCTGGGGAGATGAGGACAGAAAACGTTTAGGGGAGACAGAGTGTGAGCTTGTCTACAGCACTCAGGGAACTGCCCACTACATTCCATCCTGTGCTAGGACGCTGGATTACCCTTCATGCTTCTTTTGCAAGTCTTGCCAAGTCATGAAAATGCAGAGGGTGGAGACCTCTGCGAGGCTACCTTTCCTTTTCTAGCATTGAAATAAACTCAGTAAGCATCTAAAGATTTGTAAGTCACAATCAGAATTGACAATAAATAAGAGAGTTCTCAAGTAGGTCCTGGGTAAGTATATTCACATATAAGAGGTTTCTCTTCCTATAGTTGATCTCTACATGGTGCCATTCTCTGCACTTCTCTAGCTGATCTCCAAGGGCATCATCTATATAATTACAAGTCCTAGTTTTATATTCACAGCTTTGACCATTCTCCAAACCCAAGATTTGTAAACAAATTCAACTGCTTACTTTTACCAAATCCACTTGAATTCATGATTGGTACTTTAAATCTAACATGAGTATGTCTTTATTGTTAGTTTCATAGAACCTTATTTTCCCCTGTTCATCAGCACATGCCCATCTGTTCCAAATATAAGCTTAAAAGTCAACCTGTCTTCTATTTTATTCCTTGTTTTCTCCTATCCAGTTCACCACAAAGTCTTGTCTGCTTTACCTATAAAATATGACTCTCTCTGACTAATTTCTCTAAAACCCCTAAAGTGCTATTGGAACACAGAGGAGAAAGGATATTGGAAAAAGCTTCATAGTCACTTCATACCTGTAATGTTTCCCTGAGTGAAAAATAGGCTTTTCTAAATGGAGTCACACGATGGCACAGGAAAGAGCTGAAGCAGAAGTCAGCAGAAATTTGCCTGATGTATTTAGCAAGGGCTGAGAATTGGGAGCAAACAGACTGGGGTCAGATTTCAAAGATTCTTGCACAAAGGGCTAAAGAGTTTGGACTTGATTATGTAGAAATGAGCAAAAATGGCAGCATTTGGATATAAACATAATAATAATAATAATGAGTAGACAGTGACAGACTGCTTACTATGTACCCATCAATGGAGTAATCATTTAATATTGATTTCATTTTTTAAAACTATTTATTTATTTATTTGAGAGGTAGAATTACAGAGAGAGGGAGAGAGAGAGAAAGGTCTGTTGGTTCACTCTCTAGATGGCCACAACTATCAGAGCTGAGTCAACCTGAAGCCTGGAGCCAGGAGCTTATTCTGGGTCTCCCCCATGGGTGTAGGGACACTAGAACTTGCACTATTTTCCACTGCTTTCCCAGGCCATTAGCAGAGAGCTGGATTGGAAGTGGAGCCGCTGGGATGCGCACATATGGCATGCCAGCAACTCAGGCAGAGGCTTAGCCTACTACGCCACAGCATGGACATCATTTAATTCACATAAAAATTCAGGGGAAATGATTCACAGAAAGGTTAAGTAAGTTGCCTAAGTTCATGAGTCAATAGGTAGTGTGGCTTGGACTTTTGAGACTGGGACCCCAATTCTCTAAGCTGCGTTGCCTTCTCCTTGTATTTTAGAAAGATAATGGTCAGTGTTAATGGAGGTAAGTTTCTAAGGGAGGCGGGAACTGGTGGCAGATCAACTAGACTGCTCTAATGGTCTAGACCAGGGGTAAGAATGTCCTGAACATGACCATGACTATGGGAATAAAAAAGTACGTGGTAAATTTTGATGCATGAAGACACTAGCAGAATCATGTACCACTTTTAAGCATTTTTACTGGTTTGGAAACTCTTCCATTATAAATAATGAAAGTTTTCTGAAATTGCTTAGAGCAAAAATGTGCAAAACAATAGGTATTTTTTACATCTTGATTTATAATCCTTCCCAAGAAAAATAACACAAATAGGGTGTGCCTTCCAAATCTGTGGGATGCACATTTTTAGAATTAACCAACTGTAGATAGAAAATAATAAGATATTACATCTCAATATGGAAATGCTTTCCTCATCATTATTCCCTAAACAATACATAACACCTACATTGCATTAGCAATTATAAATAATGTAGAGATGATTGAAAGTATATGGGAGGAAGTGTGCAGGTTATATACAAATATCAAAGCATCTTCTATAAGGGACGTGAAGATCCATGGTTTTGGTATCTGCAGGGGGCCTTGAAAGGACTGTTTTGTGTGCCGGATTGCCTGTACTTTTAATCTGGGAAATACTGTGACTGATGAGTAGAACGATGGAGTAAAAATCAGATACTCATATGTGTTCAGGTAAGGCAAAAAGTATTTGGAAATTCCTGATGAAATAAGCTTTTGGATTCATTAAGGTGAACAACTTCATTAGTGGGGTTCTCTTACACCACTCTGGTGGAGGAGAACTGTCCAAAGTCACCTCCACTTCTGATGGGAGCCTGGGAAGCTCTTGATTTTAATTCTCTGGTATCACTACTATAACACTTCTGTCTCCTTATGCTATCCTTTTTTCCAGACGTGAGATTTAATTCACATACCCTGGAATTCATACTTTTATAGTGTAAAATTTAGTTTTTTAAAGCACATTCACAGGGTTATGCAATGATCACCACAATGTGCAGAACATTTTTGCCAAACCAAAAGGAGTTCCTTTACCTAGTGGCAGTCGTTCACTATTGGCCACCAAACTCTCCTAGCCCTAGATGATTGGCAGTCTACTTTTATTATCTATGGATTTGCGTGTTCTGGTCATTTTTCTATAGAGGGACTCACACAACACGTTTTTGGGCATTTTTGTGTGACCAGCTTCTTCTTCTTTAGCATAATACTTTTATGGTTTATCCATGTTGTGACATGCATTGATATTTCATTTTTTGTTGCTAAATAATATCCTGCTGTATGTATAAATTGCATTTTATGGATCTGTCTATCATTTAATGAACACTTGTGTTTGCCTCTGCATAAGAGGCTTAAAAGATCATCATGAGAAGGAACACACCCCTTCAATGATGTAATGCCGGTGCCCGGAGGGCTCACTGCATGCAGACTGGCTGTTTCTAGACCATCTGGAGAGTCCTTGTCAGTGATGATGTCTTATTTTTGGCACATTATCTGGGGAAGGGATAAAAGCCCTGTTCAATCGAGGGCGAATCCCTGTGGGAACTTTACAACATAAAAATACCTGAAGGAACTATTTAAGTGAACCCTAGGTTTTCAGCTCTTAACTGCATGGACAGGCAGCCACAGAGCCAGACAATACTGTGAGTTTCAAAGATGTGAATTTCAGCCCTCCTTTCAGGTCTGACCCCATCCCCGATCAGGTACCTCTTACAGCCACGAAGACTGAGTTTCTCTGTATAACAACATCTCTGTACAGATATTAGAGATCTTAGAGAGAGCCTCTCAGGATACTTGCATTTTAAAGTGAAAACCGTTGCTTGAAAGC